GTCAAGGTTAGACCCTAGTCTTGCATAAAATTGCCAGCAGCCACCACCTGGTCTTTCATACATATGCCAGGGGCCACCACCTGGTGTTCCATGCAAGTATCACAAAGACAACTAGCATCCTATGTTGTATATAGTGAGAAAACTCACCTCAATCATGAAGACAAGATAAAACACACACTCGAACCGACGATAACAAGTCTCATCTTGCTAAACATATACAAAAAAAACCCTAATTAACAATAAGGTAATAACCAACTCTTAAAAGGTCTAGGCTCACAATTAAACCTCTTTTGGGCAAAAGACGATTTTTCCCTTCTTACACAAAGTACCAACATGGTTGAACAAAAGTCAAACTGGTCAAAAAGTCAACGATCAACCCTTAGTTTACTTATGCTTAGCGTACCATACTAATCTACGCTCGGCGTAGAGCTACACTTAGCATACAGAAGGCTACACTCAGCGTAGAGCCCCTGTTTCCCAAAAACTTCTATTAAGCTCTTAATACAGCAAGTCAAACCCTCAAACTTCCATATCTGATCTAAATGAATGTCTTAATGGATAAAGTCTTTGACTTTATCCATTTTCAGGGCCAAGAAGAGCACAAAACCAAACTCTAAGTCCATATTGGCACCTTTTGCTCAAGAACTCATGCATGGATGGATGATAGTGCCCAAGATCTCATTGTTATGACTCTATAACCTCAAATGCATCAGAAGGAGGCAATCAAATGGTATGGAGTAACCCATACTCACAAGGACCAAGATTATAGGGAAAAGCATAAAACTCACAACCATACTAGATCTAACATGTACAAGAAACAAGATGAAAGCTTTATACCTTCCAAAGATAAATGTTGGCTCGTAAATCCCAGATCTACACACCTTGAAGCTTCCCACTTGATTCTATAAACACTTTATTCCTTCAAAGATCACACAAAACTCTCTAAAAGCTCCAAAACTCACAATTAGTGGTCAGGGTTTCAAAGGAACGATATGAGGTGATGGAGGATGGTTATGGGAATGATCTCAAGAAAGTTAGAGCCCTTAAATATGGCTCAAAACCATAGGGTTAGGGTTTTGTTCTGCAACGTCTACGCTCAGCATAGCATAACCGCTTAGCGTAGGTCATTAAATTCGCATCCAGAATTGAGCACCAAGACTCAGCGTAGGGGCTTTCCTACGCTCAACATAGGACCAAATTCTTAATTTCCAATTCAACTTCAAACAATCATAATTTCTTGGTTTCAACTCCGTTTTCAGAGTTCTTTATATGCACAGAAAGGTATTGACAAGCCCCACAATTCTATCTAGTTACTTTTGGCTTAACACATGTCGAACTAAAACCATAGTCCACGCAATAAGTCTGAAATATTACTTTTCCCCTTTTACCCCTTCAGCTCTAAAGTACAATTCAAGGTTTCAAATCACTTATCAAATATCATCATCATCCAATAGGGTCTACACTTTATTCCTTTGAAGCCCAAGGCCTTTACATGTTCGAATTACAGTCCAAACTCCCAAAATAAGATACATCCCGGAACTGGATGTTACAGTGACCAATTTGAAACCGAAACCAAATAAACCAAATTTTAAGGTTAAAAATAGAATTTAAAACATAAATTTTCCAAACATAAAATCTAAAGTTTCAAATATAAAATATAAAGTTTCACATGAAATATAACGGAAGTCGATCTATCCGAGAAATATGAAATATCAAAACATATTTTTATTTTTTCTATTTAATTTTATAATATAAAGAAATATTATATTTAACTTATAAAAAAAATTAATTAAATTCATTAATTTGTCTTGGTTTGGTCCGAATTCCACAAGACCATAACTTAAACCATAAAGCAAATTCGTAATTTGGTTTGGTTTAAAACCAAAACGAAAACTAAATTTAAAACTAGGTTTGGTCGGGTTTCAGGTTTGATTTTCGTTTCTTTAATTTCGCCCACACCTGGTTGGCACAATATTTGTGAAATTTACCAAAGTAATATCGTTTTGAAAAAAAAATCCAAATAAAAAACTATAGATTTCATCAACAAAAATGCAGGTTTACTTGTGAAGATTCAAAAAAAGATAATATCATCAAAGTGCTTATATGTTGTAATTTTTCCCGATTAACCCCAAGTTTATTTTTTCCCCAGAAACACTTTGCATTTTTTCATTTTTTGTTTGGTCTTTTAGCAATTTTTTCTGAAAAAAGCTTGTCAAATGTGGGGGTTTTGGGGGAAAACAAATTAAGGTTTTTTCTGAAAAAAATAAAATGTTAGAGGGTGTTTTTTAGGAAAAAATAAAAAAGAATTCAAGGTCTTATGAGGAAAAATAATAAAGTTATAGAATCTTCATATCCATATGAGAAATCATTTCGAAAATTGTGAGAAATCCACTTTTTTTTTTTTTATCATTTTTATAAATCAAAACTACACCATCAAACTTTATTTTGCTATGAAAATGATATTTTATGATTCCTACCATAAGAAACTTTTACGAGAGAATTTTCAGATGGATCTCAAGATTTTATAGTGTCATCTATGAAATCTTCATATGCGATCTAAAAAATCCTTTCAAACATGGTGAAAAATCTTTTTTTTTTTTTTTTTTTTTTTTTTTCGCGGGTCAAAACTATAAGCCTTTTTGTTGTGGTTTTGGTTTTTGCATGTTTATGAGCAAACCCAAACCAACAAACCGAGAAACCGACTAAAACCGATGAAACCGAAACCGAAAAAACCGAAACCGAAAAGTCGGGTTCGGTTTCGGTTTTTACCCAGAAACCGACCCATCTAACCCGAGAAACCGACCCATACTTAAAACCGACAAACCGCTCCAAGAAACCGACCCATCCAACCCGAGAAACCGACTCATACTTGATTATTTTTTTTATTATAATAGACTATTTCAGGCTTTGGTTGTAACTTGTAATGGACTATTTGGTTGTAAGACTCATGTTTTTTAAGTATTTAACTTCAATTTGGGGTTTTTGAAGTATTTTACTTCTTGCTTCATTTCTGCAAAATGGGTTAAAACCCAAAACCCATGGGTTTAAACCCAGAACCCGCGAGTGTATAGGTTGAACCCAAGAAACCGAAAAACCGACCAAACCGACCTCAGAACCCAAGAAACTGATCCTATTGGGTTCTGAAAACCAAAAACCGAACATTTATGGGTTGGGTTGGGTTTGGGTCCAAAACCGACCATGCACAACCCTATTTAACACATACACACACACAAAAAAAAAAAAAACCCTCAACAAATTGTTGTTTTTTTTTTTTTTTAATTTGATTTTTTTTTCATAGCGATATCATTTTAGTTAATTTCTCAAACATTGTGGCAATTTTACACGTTTCATTTGCAAAATTGATGATTGTTTTGCTAAAACTCTTTAATTTTTGCTTAAATCTTGAGAAGTTATAGATGGAATTAATTCGATTGTCTTAAAAGAATTTTGTAAGAATTATCGGTGGTATACTTGTGTGTAAGGTGATATGCATTCGCGTACCAGTCAAACCTTATATTATATTACATGTATTCGCAACCATATATAGCATAATGGTCATAAACTTGAGAATGGATGTAATATTAGATGATATTTCATATTATTTGATGTGAGTGCAAGGAAGGTTTGCTTATAGCATAAGCGCCATAAAAACCCTATAACAACGACGCTTGTCAATATAATTTCCCTTTTTGAAGCCAATTCAACGAGGAATTGAGAAGAGATTTTGCTGTTTCCTTCCTTGTTTGGTAAGAATAATAGAATGAAGTGGTTACAATGTTTACTTACTTACTTGACAAGAGAGGTGATGCAAATGGGCTCAAAAACGACGACGTGGCATGTTGCAATAGTAGTTCACCATTAGTGAAGCCCAAAAAACGACATATGGTGTTATTGGAAATCATTAGAAATCTTAGGAGAATCACACGCATCTGTATTATTTGCTCAAGTTTTGAGATTAATTTTGGCCATTTGTCTCGTCTAATTTTGTTGGCTCTCAAGAGGTTTTGTGTTCTCTCTCGTTCTCTATGTATGTGTGTGTGTTTTTTTTAGTTATGAATATCAATTTTATAATATAAAAATGACAAACTTTGTTATAATTTTTTTTTTCAAAATAATTAAATTCTTAAAAATATAAAATCAACACCGTTCATTTATGAATAAAACATCGAAGCAGAACTTTAAAAAATTCTATAGTTATATATTTATATGTATATCAATAGAGCATAACAAATTGTAAATTTCAATATATTTGGGTTTTTTAATAAGCCTTAAAAAACCAACACTTTTCTTTATTGAATACAACATATTCATCAACAAACACATGCCACAAACTTTCTTACTTTTATATCTATATATTTATAGAGCATAAAAAGTTATAACTTTTTATAAATTTATTCTTTTTCAAAAAAAGAATGAAGCCTTAAAAATAAAAAATATCATCAATGAATAAACTGCTAAAAACTTCGTCGTTTAGCGTTAATAATCTATTTGTAGAGCATAAAAAAGATATAAATTTAGGTATATATAAGGCTAAACACACGACTGATGAGTGTCTGTGTCTGGAATCCGGCACAATTAAAATTTATTTTTTCAGAATAATAGTAAACTGAAAAAAACATTGACTAATTAGAAATTATTATTTTCAGACGTGCTTCCCAAACTCTTATCCGTAAAAGGATAAAAATACTGCATTACTTGTAAGACCTCCAAATGGAGCTTGATAATGACACTACAACTCCTATCAAAACAGTTCTTGAATTCTTTTTCCTTTTTTTTTTTTTTTTTTTTTTTACAGATTTACTCAGTTAGCATATATCCATTCATAAATCCACAAAGACCTCAACGCGTCTTGTTACAAACCAAATGGGAAAGAGTGATATTCAGTCAAGTAATTACCAAGAACACCATAAACAAATAATTAATCAAATCAATTAGCCATGAATCAAGACTAGATATAATTTAATAAACCTAAAAGCCAAAAGAAAATTGGAAAAAAAAAATTAGCTATAGGTAGGCAAATTGAATGATCTTTCCCCAAAACCATAATCCAGATGAGAATTAACCAAAGTAGCAGGTGGTGTATCAAGATTTTGTTGAACTGATGCGAACCCATGATTATGATTGTTAAACTCTTGCATGAATCCATCAAGATCACCAAATCCACCCAAGAATCCTCCACCAGAATTCGCTCCAACCCATATATCTTCCTCCCCTTTGATCTTCTCCCTCACCTCCATTCCAGCCTGCAAAAGATTCGATCTTTTATGGGGTTGTTTTCTTGTCTTCGGTTTCTTCTTCTCAGTTGGTTTTCCGGTGAGCCTTTGGACCAATTCCCTGAAGTTTGCGACATCTGTTTTGATGATCTCTGGTGCGAATATGTGAATTATGCGAATCTTGGGTTTGATTTTGGAGATGATGTGAGAGTGTTTGTGCATGGTGAGGGGTTTTGTGGTTGGGGAACATGTGTGTGTGTGTTTCTTGTTGATCATCATCTGCTCCATGGTACACATTGTGTGAGTGGGGGGAAGGTGGGATATGATATGGTTTAGAGAAGAAGAAATGGAAGGATATGGAGGGGTTTTATAGGGTTTTTTTTAATTATTTAAAGAATCCAGAGATTTGTTTATTGTAGGAGGAAGACAATTGGGAAGATATGAAAAGTAAAACAAGCTGTAGAAAGAGAGTGACCGGCAAACAAAAACTACTGAATTTTTTTCAAATTGTACTCTAAAAGTATTAGTTAATTGTATTTTACATTAAATGTGTATTTGTTCCATAACATTTTATTTCTTTCTTAATTCATGTAACAAAATAATTTTTATATAAAATATGCAATAATGTCCCGTTTTATAATTCAAACATAATATAATTTACGTTTAACCTAGCGACTTGAAACCATCACATTGGTGCATAACACAGTTCCAAATATGAAATATATATATATATATATATATATATATATATATATATATATATATATATATATATATATATATATATATAATGGAAATGGTCCTTGGTAAATTTGCATGTATGGCATCATTAAAGATTTTCTCCGTGTGTAGAACAGGATTTTTGAAGGTACATTTACATTGCAGTCCACAGTGTTTGTTATTATATCATGTCCAAATTGACACTTTTCTCCTTCCCCCATCACTTTTTCTTGTTTACCTCCCATCATTTTCATTTGCTTTCCAATTTTAAATTTAGTTTTGACGGAAATACAGACTTTTAACTTATGACAACGTAGAGAAGAAGATTCATATACATTTTCATTAACAAAGTTTTACAAGAGTTGGTGTATTGACATCTTGATTATTCCTTTATATGTGATAGAATTCGTTTTCTTATATAACAAGAAGCACATGATTTGAAAACTATAGCAAAAACTATATAAAACTGTCAACAGACATCCAAGTAATGTTTTACTATATACACTTGCGATGATTTTTATACTCGAAATGCATTTTAATGTAATGTTTGAGTAATTACTATATACAATTTTATATTATATCATCTAAACAATGATTGTATCAATATATAGAGTAAGATGATCATAGTTGCCCACTTGCATTATTTACCCAAATTAGATGGTTATTGATTAATAGAAATCATTTAGTGGTTATTAATTAATAATTATACATTCTTTTTTAACGTTAAGTCATCCTAAGAATGAAACATAAGAGATTCAAACTTGGAGCAATTCTTAAAAAGTGATTTAATTCTCAAGTGATCATCAATATAATAAAAAATGGCATATTTTAATAATAGATAGTCATAAAATGACTATATATGATGTGTAACAAATAAATTATTCTTTTTTTCTATTAGCACAAGATGATAACTAATAACAATCGATCGGAATTGCAAAATGGCTCATCTATATATGCTTCGTTTTCTTTTCTTTTTTTTCTTCTTCTTTTTTTTTTTTGGTTTTTTTATTACATTTTGAAATATGGTTACTCATTTCGCAATTCGAAGCCTTTTGACGGAAATCCAACATGGAATGATTTTAGACATAGAAAAACTTGAGTATTTTTCTAAATATTACTATTTTTGTATAACTGAGTAAGCACACACCTTAAGTTTTGAACCCTCAACTATTTGTGAAGTGATATATTTCCAACACAAATGATATTGTTAGGCCGAAAGCTTTTTGATAAGAAAAATTAAATTGTTTTCTACTTTTTATGCCTACAAATGTTTCTACCCAATAAAATTATCACAAGTGTCATCATTCCATATTTTTTTAACTAACTAATTAAGGCTATATTAGGAATATATCAAACAAAATTTAATTGAATGGTGATTTGTTATAATTTTAGTGGGTAGGAATAAATGTAGGCATAAAATGTAGGATGTAATTTAATTTCTCTTTTGGTAAATATTACTATTTAACAAAATATTTTACTTGTATTTACATTTTGCAGTTTAAGTAGTCACAATTTTCATATGAATTATTGTTGTGTGTATTTGATTTAAGTAATGTTTGTATTCTCATGTTTGATCACCATAGAGATGTATTTACACATAAAAGCATCAATTTTCCTATTGTACAGGATTTTGTAATTTGGGAGATTTTCAATTTGCTAACGGTGAAATAGCGATTACAGGAGCAGTCATGGGCTAAGGAGGTAGATTTCCACTCGTTGAGCTTTTGCATTCGTGGAGCTTTTGATTAACAAAGAGAAGATAACAACATTAAAAGAGAGGACAAATTATTTAATTTAAAACAAATATACAAATCTTTTGTGGATGTTATTTATATTGAATGTGCAACATCCGACTTATGCAAAATCATGCAAGCATCTTACGTGCTTGTCACTATCCTTATTTCAAGTTCAGTGTTTTATTTTCTTTTAAATGTCTAGTATTTTTCTCTTATTGAATTAGTCTAGATAGTGGGTAGTTATCCCATTCTATTGATCGCTTCGATTATTCTTTCATTTAATCTAAAGTCGGATGCTACGTCGAATTTACTTCATAGATTAGTCGGACTCGATTCGATATAACCACTAGAGTTGGAATAATATTTATCTTTGTAGTCATTACTGAAAAAATGGTAATGATGGAAATGAACAAATTAGCTCAACTACTTAGATACTTAGTAACCTTGTGACTTTCCCTAATCCAAGTGCGAGTCTTATGGTTCCTGTAATATAGGCCTCTACTACCTTTCATACATACTCATACTCATCCCAAGAATTGTCTCGAAGTTCACTAAGTTACCATAAACGAAAGCTACACAGAGCTCAACACATGGAATAACGTAATTTAGGAAATTATATTGCTTCTTAGACGATTATATTGTTATTTCAAATTATCATACATCACGTCTTTTACATGGACTATATAGGATAATACTACTTATATGGTTCATTCCTTCAAGTATTTCCGACAAGCAATTCCAAATTCATGTCCTCTTGTTTCCTCATCAAGTTTGGCCTTTACCTTCGATGGCACATTCGGCCTTGCTGCTTCGTTTTTCTTTGGGCAATCTTTAAAAATATAACCATTGTCTCCACATCCGTAGTGTACTCTATCATTGTACGTACAATCCTTGGAATGGTGACCGGTCCTTCCACACTTACAACATGTCACTTTTCCGTCAAATTTTCCGAAGTGCTTTTTCTTGCACTTCTCGCACCACTTGGCTTCACTGTTACCACCTGACTTCTTGTCATCTGGGTGAGACTTTTTGAATCTCCCTTTCTTATTGGATCTTGAAGTCCCCTCCAGCTTCATTTTCTCTCCTTTCCCGGCTTTTTCCGGACCCTTCTCTCTGATCTGGGTCTCTACGTTCTTAGCTGCCCAGATGACTGCTTTCAGAGTAGTTGCTAGCTTCACCATTGGCCCATAATCTATTGGTAGTCCCATAGAAAACATGTTTACCTTGGAAAGTTCGGTAGGGACCAAGTTAGGAACTAGCTTCATCTTCTTAGTGAAAGTTGCAGCATACTCGCTGACACTCATTTTTCCTTTCTTCAAATTCTGGAATTCATTGTGAATCTCCAGAATATCTTGTTCAAAGCAGTACTCTCTCTTTAACCGCACAAAGAATTCTTCCCACAAAATCTTCTTCGCTTCTCCCTTTGGAATAGAATCTGCCAACAACTTCCACCAGCTCAATACGTTGGTCTTCAGTTGTTTGACCGCTAAAATGGTCTTTTGTCCATCACTACAGTCACAGTTATCAAACACCATCTCCATCTCGAATATCTAATCCATGACTTCTACAGGTGTTGGGGTTCCAGAAATACTTGGCGGCTTGGATGTCATGAAATCCTTGTACTTACATCTATGCCCACCGTTCTTTTCGTCGGGTTGGTTTCTTCTAACCACTTAGGGTTCCATACGACTCACTGTTATATTTCCTTCCTCAGATTGCTCCTCATTAAGCTCAGGTTGCACAACTAGTGCAGTAGGCTCTCTTTCATTTTCTCGAATGAGGTGTCTCATTTCTTCCCTCTATTCGGCTAACAAAGCCCTAATCATCGCTATTGTAACAGGTTCGACTATTGGCACTGCTTCATGTGCACATTCGATCCCTCGAAGCTTAGGCTGACGGTTTCTGTTATCGTTTCCCAATCCGCTTCGACTCCTCATCATGACGTTCTATACATCAAAGTAGCCATTCAATGTACTGAGACGAGAATATAGATAGGAAAGTTTTAGACATGTAATCCTCCTTACTACTCCGAAAGATTATATGTCAGTTCTAATATCGTAATTAAACGTTTAGAAACCTTAACACATACAATTTTCTAATTCTAGGTCGGCAACAGACCATAAACCTAATAATAGCAATTAGATAGGCAACGTAATGCATGTTTGGTGGGATGTCAAGTCCACCAAACAAATTACACCATTTGTTTTCAAACAAAACGTAATATAATGGCAAAAATTGGTATCGATCCTCGGGGAAATGGTTGTATTCAATCACCAATACAATCCAATAGAACTAGTGTAATAAAACTAACAAACTACAATTAAACTAAAGGGGGGGGGGGAGGGGGGTTCATGATTGCTTGAAAACTAAAAGACTTAAATAACTAAAAAGCTTGCAATTAAGTAAAATGGTGAGATACTCAAATATTGGAGATAATTGGTCAACCAAGGCAATTAAACACAATGAACATTTGTGTGTTTATCATTAGGGTTCAATATGAATCTTATCATTCACCCTAAATTGGTTATAGCAATCTTGAAGCATGATATGCCAAGATTCCTCATATGTAGTCTGGGGGTTGGGGAATCCCACAACACACTTTCTTAATCAAAATCAAGGATTCAATTGAAGCAAATGAACCCAAGAAAGTCGATTAGCCTTAAGAATGAAGGAATCCCCAATTCCTAGAGGATGTCAATGCTTACACATCCATAAACGAGCCATGATTCATAAGCTAGAGATGATTTCTACCATCATAAAGCCCTTTTTCTAAGTAAATTCAATGATTCAATGCTAAACCAAAGAAATAAACCAACAATTGCTCATTCAAGTACCAAGCTCATAATCAAAGTATTAAACAAGCATAAGAAATATGAACTGGAGTCATAAACA